TAAATAAAAATTACAAACGAGACCTTTTGCGTTTGAAGGCTACTTTTAAAAACCAGAAAAAGGGTATGATAAAACAAATAATTTTTTTTTCTGTGTGCTTTTAGAAAAATTACTCTAGGTAGACAACAGTATTAGCTGGAAATTCAGCACTCTTTCTGCTTTATCTTTATCCCACAGTGCTTCTCAACCAAATTTATGTTGCAACTAATTGCAGGCAGTTGCCGAGCTTCCGGCAGCGGCAGACAGTTTCCTTTGCTTTTCCTTTGAGGTCCTGTCCTCGGTGGCAGCCTCCGAGCGCCTGACCCTCTGACCCCTGGTCCTCTCTGAATTGTCCCACTGGCAGCGTGTGAAATTTATTGAGCGTGGAAAGTCATCGAACGTTAAGTAGGCATGTGTGAGGGGCGCCAACTTTATAATTGATTGCTTTAATTAAATTTTGAGAGCGCTGTCTGCCAGCCCACCTGCCGGCGGAAATAGCTCTGGGACGGAGCACAGCAGTCTTTCGCAACCGTGTGTAATTAAATTTTAAACGCTTACTTAGGCCGAAGTGAACTGCTTGCAATAATTACGGAAGCCATTAGGCACGCTCTCAAATGGGGCGGAAAACTGGTTGAAAAATTTCCACACAGATATGTTCTCGACGTGGCTGCAGTTGGTTCTGCTTTTCTTTGGTCTTACAGCCACTTCGTCGTATTTGTTTCATGTCGATTGGCCAAAACGGCCGTTGGGATGGTGGCAGAAGCAGTACTACCAATCATTATGTGAGTTTTTTTTAAATTGTTATTTTACGTGCAAATGATATTAAAAAACTCAAAGTTAAACAATTTCGATGTCTATCAATTGTAATCATAAATATTTTAATTAAAACAGATTTTTTCATGTACGTTCAAATAGTTTTTTAGAATGCAGGACACAGATGCAGATTCACATGGATTGATTTTTAATACTTTTAAGGGCTTTTCTCAATGCAATTGTGTAATTGTATTACCAATACAATTAAAAAAATTATTAATTTAGATGTTTTTAAAGTGCCTAACCATTTAATTTCTTTTAAATGAAACTGATTTTTTACGTAAATATATTAAATTAATTGGAACAATGAAATGCACTATAAACAATTATTTTATAATTGATTTCGATGGACAGGACAAATGCTCATTATTAAAAAAACATTCATCCAGGGAGGCAGAGGCTGCGATTTACGACTACTCCCAGGCCGGGAGCTACTCCTGAGTGGTATGAGACCCGATTGGTGTATCCCTGCTATTGCTACAAGCCATCTCTCGAGGACTTGGCCACTGCCAGCCCGGTGGAAAAGCGAATAATTGAGCCCAAGGAGCTGTTCTTCCTCAACAAGTAGTGCGTATTGGAATTGTCCATAAAATATGTTCTATTAATCACAGAAAATTCACACAATAAATATATAATACATTTACTCATTGGACTTTCGTCGCAAGTTCGTTTAATATGCCGTTTTCCGAGTCTACTAAATCCTACCAAATCCAGGGCTTTAAGTCATTGCCGAATCTGGTGATTATTCCCTGACGCTTTTAAGACAAGTAGCAGATAAACTTCATGCAGCCGTCTGTCCTATCCAACCAGTCAGAAGCAATTTCAGTTGGTCGAAAAACAAAAGCCACGTAATCCTGGCGACTCCCCACCGACACTTATTCAACCACTAAGTGAAAATAGTTTGCTCGCCAAAATATGCTTTTGCCTCCGCAATCTGCTGTCTGCTGTCTGTTTTGCTGTTGTCTGCTACCAGCCATTGATAATTGCGAATTATGGATGAAGTAGAGTGGATATTCAGACGGCAACGTTGACTGACTGACACGCCCCCTTTTCCCAAGCCCACGCCCACGCCCAGGACGGCGTTTTGTCATAAATATCAAAGGGGTTTTCATTTAGCAGCTGCCATTAGGTTGATGGCTTTGTCGTATCATAAGCGCTTTTTTTTATAACTATAATTCCGGGAAGAATTTAATATTTCTTTTGTAAAGTCGTTATTTAATAATAATGAATTTTCTGGAAATATATTTGCAAACTCTGAGTTTAGCAAATTCTCGAAACTCTAACACAATATTTCTAGGAAATAGTTGTCTTGCAGAGTCAGTGGTTGTCTTATTCGATATCTTTTCGACATTAAAAACTTTAATACTGAAAAAACGAAAGGGATTTAACAACTGGCATCAAATTTATTGATCTGAAGCAAAATCAACGAAATTCTCATCAAACTACATAACTGGTTCATTGATTTCTTTTTGCGCTTTCTGTTAACTTGGCAGCAACATTCAATTGAAAAAACTTCCAAAGAGCCGGAAGTCATAAAAACTATTCGGAGAAAGAAAGAAAAAACGAAAATTATTTAAAATAAAAAGCTCGGAAAGATTTAAAAAAAAAAAAGAAAAGATAGCACGTTATAACGTTTCATAAGATGTTGTGGGTTTCTTTTTTAAAAGACTTGCTTTTTTTGGACCGGTGCGTGAGCGGAATTTGGTAGCAGTCGATGTTGGGTGAAAGGCACTAAAACTTAAACTCAGTTGGTGGCACATTGCACGTGCCACACTAGAGCGAAACCCGACCACTCTGGCCAAGAGCAGCCATTCAGCTATTCAATTACTTTTTCCGTTCCTAGACAAAAGCCAAAAACTGGCACTCGCATTTCCACATGTCCTTCTATTTCTGGCAGTAGCGGGTGCTGGCTGGGAAAACTGCTCTGCTGGCACTTAGCGCACCATTGCAGTTTTCTTTCATATTTCCCATGCTGCGAATTATTTATAAAATGCTCATCTGGTGGCATCCGTCATCTGCATGTTCTAGTGCAGGCGCTTTTGTGGCCCATGCACAGAGAAAATTTAATCAGTAATCGTGATCGATCAAAGTAATGAATATATGAGCTATATTAATGTTTATAAAATCATAAATGCCAGCTGTTGAATTATTTGGAATGATTTTTTGAAACCCCACGTAAAACATTGTTTTAAAGTCTTCGTTATAATTGTATTTTGAAAAATCGTAAATGTCAGCCGTAATGACCTTAAAATGTATCTATGCATAAGTGTGGGAATCCTTTTAATTTTTTTAAAGCTTTGTAAGACCATATTTGAAAGTGTTTAATTTTCAATAAAAATTTTTATTAAATATGTTGGTATGAATAGTAAAGTAGAAACATATTTATTCCTTTTTCACTCTTTTATCAGAAAATGTATTTTCAAACGCAGAGTTTTAGAGACTGAAGCCCCAAGACTATAAAGATATGCCATTTTGAAATCGGATGTTTAAAAGAAAAGTTATGGAATTAAAACTGAAGGTGTTTGGTACCTTTTTTAAAATGATTTTTTTCGGAATTTAATTAAGGAGTTATGTCGTAAGAATATCAACCCAAACTTTCAAAACAGAATTTAAATGCAAATTTTTAGAAGATTGAGCAACAAGACTTTGAAGATATACAACTTTGATGCAACTTTCGGATGCGTGAAATAAAAGTTATGGATTTAAAGCTGCAGGTTTTTGGTCACTTTTCTGCAAAGACGATTTTTTCGGATATTTAGAAAGGGGTTACATCATAAAAATGACAAAAAATCGACCCGAAATTACAAACCAATTTTTAAACGCAGAGTTTTAGAGACTATACAGATATACCATTTTGAAATCGGATTTTTGAAATTAAAACTGAAGGTTTTTGGGTAATTTTTTATACCCTTGCAGAGAGTATTATAACTTCAGTCAGAAGCTTGCAGCGCAGTGAAGGAGACATATCCGACCCTATAAGGAATATATATATTTTTGATCAGCATCACTTGGAGAGTTGATCTAGCCATACGTCCGTCCGTCTGTCCGTCCGTCTGTCCGTCCGTTTCCACGCAAACTAGTCTCTCATCTTTAAAGATATCTGCATGAAACTTTCCCAAAAGTTTTCTTTCTATTGCAGGTAGTACATAAGTCGGAACGAGCCAGATCGGAAAAATATGTGAAAAAATTATTATAAGTCTATAATTTCATCAAAAATGGACGACTATAACATTAAAGCTCCCATGGCAATAGCTGCAAGAGTATATGAACTTCGGCTTTCCGAAGTTTGCTTCCTTTCTTGTTTTTATTATTAAAAATGTGTGTGTTTTTTTTTTTTTTCTACTTACTTGAAGTGATAGGTGCCGTTCTCATAGCCAAAGAAGGGCACTGTGTAGGTCAGCATCCAAATGTTGCCACCGCCGCAATCGTAATACGGTTTTGACCATCTGCCGTCCTCATATTTCACAGCCAGCGTGTCGTCCTCGATTCGCTCCTCCGTGCGGTTCGAGTAGAGATGAAAGGCTGCAACAGAAGGGTTTCAATAGCGTTATCCATTATGCAAACTGTAATTAGAGGACCCAGCAATCGATAAACCGTTCACGGCAGTCGGCAGTCGGCAGCAATGCGACTCAGCGAGCTGTGCAGTGCACCCCAAGGGGTACACAGTGAGAAATCGAAAGGGGGTTTCTATAAACTTTAAAAATATACGACTTTTCTTGTGTTATGTTGATCTTTAGTTTAAGGGTTGTAAACGTCGTTTACAATGGGTGACTAAATACACCAAGGGATACACAGTGAGAAATCCCAGGAAGCTTTCTTTAAGATTCAAAAACATTTTTTTTCATACTTTTTAAAGAGTGTTGCAGGTATCTTATTGGTTAGGATAGACTTCGTTTAAAATGGTTATCTGAAAGCATATTTGAACGATATATATGTATATATCTATATATTTATATACCTTGTTGATACATATTTAGTAGTGTCATTTTCCGAGTGTTCCACCTTGTTAATTGGCATTGCCTAAGCCAATCCTGCGACTAATGACTTTATAAGTGCAAACTCTCGGCCTTGAATGACTCGGAAGTTCCCTGATGAATAAACCAAAAATGGCAAGGCATTAAAAACAAATCAGGGTGCGCAAGATGGCCATATAAAAGCCTCTTTCTGGAGCAGCCCTGCTATAGAAGTACCAAGTCCAAGCAAGTGAGATGAAGAAGGCGCTTTTTGAACGCATGCAAGTGGCTCCTGTTGACCAGCAGGCCAGTTCTGCGGATGCCAGCGATTACTATTATCGCATAACATTTGTTTTGGGCCTTACGCCGCCCAAAGAGGGTTTGGCCAGATGGATCTACTTTTTGTGGAGCGCGATTGTGATGTGGCTGGGCATTGTATACCTGCCGCTGGGACTAACCCTCACCTATGTGCTGCACTTCGATAGGTTCACGCCGACCGAGTTTCTCAGCTCCTTGCAAGTGGACATCAACTGCATCGGCAACGTGGTCAAGAGCTTTGTGACCTTTTCCCAGATGTGGCGACTCCGCAGGATGAACGAACTGATTGCCCCGTTGGATGCGAGATGTGACACTCCGTCGCAGCGTCAGATACTCCATAAGGTGGTGGCTCGGGTGAACCTCACAGTGTTTATCTTCGTATCAATGTACTTGGGTTTCGGTTTCCTAAACGTCTTCACCTCGGTGCTGGCGGGCAAGGCACCTTGGCAGCTGTACAACCCGTTTGTGGACTGGCAAAACGGCTACTGGCAACTGTGGATTGCCTCGTTCCTGGAGTGCTTTGTCGTCAGCATTGGAACGATGCAGGAACTGATATCCGATGCCTATCCCATTGTCTTCGTCTCCTTGTTCAGGGGTCATCTGGCTGTGCTCAAGAATCGAATCGAGAATCTGCGACAGGATCCGGAGCTCAGTGAGGAGGAGAACTACAGGCAGTTGGTGGCCTGCATCCAGGATCATCGCACCATTGTTGAGTAAGTTGGCTAACCCCAATGAAGTTATCACTCTATTATGAGAAAATATTTTGTAGAAGTGCCCAAGTCATTAGACCCATTTTGTCGATCACCATCTTTGCCCAATTCATGCTAGTTGGCATTGATCTGGGTTTGGCCGCCATCAGCATCCTATATTTTCCGAACACCATCTGGACGATCATGGCGAATGTTTCGTTTATCCTGGCCATTTGCATGGAGTCCTTTCCGTGCTGCATGCTCTGCGAACATCTGATCGACGATTGTGCCCATGTCAGCGACGCACTTTTCCACTCGAACTGGATAAGTGCAGAGAAGCGGTACAAGTCAACGGTTATTTACTTTTTGCACAGGGTCCAGCAACCCATTCAGTTTACAGCCGGCTCGATTTTTCCCATTTCGGTGCAAAGCAACATTGCTGTGGCCAAGTTTGCCTTCACCATCATCACAATCGTCAATCAAATGAATCTGGGCGAGAAGTTCTTCAATAACAGGGCAAACGCCGAACCCGACCTTTAAAGTGCAATGCAAAGTTAAGTTTCAAAACAAATATTTGCCTCTCAGCACTTGCTCTCTGTAGTATCCAGCAGTAAACTTTGCAGAAGTGGGTATACACTTAAAGATTTCAAGCATCGTAGGGCCATGTGCATCCACTTAGAAACAAAATCAAGTATTTTATGCTTGAATTTAGAAAAACAAGATATATGCTTCGAAGTTTTGAACATAACTCAAATACTGTTATTCAGTAAGATCAGTAAGTCGTTGTTGTGTAAAATTATTTCTTAATTAAAGCACTACGCCAATCAAAACACAATATACACGAACATTATTCTTTATTTTAGCAAACTGAAAAGCTAATTGGTTTTATAAATTTTTCTGTTCTAAAATTTGCCATTCTTTATTATTTTAAATAGCATTTTTAAAAAGCACATGAATGTGATGTGGACTAAAACGGTTTAAATATATAGCATCTTTAAATGTTGGTCAAAATAAATTAAATCTTTTAGATAATGGTAGTTTCATAGGCACTTAACCCTCATCTTTAAGTAGTTTATTTGCAAGCCTGCTTTTTGATCTTTTATCGATTTGAAATTGACTTGCAAAGTAAACTCAACACTATTAAACAATTGGGATTCCGCAACATCCTCTTAAAAATTAAATTCAACCGAAAATCCTTGATTGATTTATTCACAAATGCCCCCAACAATTAACTATTAACCTGGCTAGCCTGCTCGCGCCTCAATAATAAATCCCCTTTGGCAGTTTAACACCTGACTGCTGGTGGTGGTTGGCTCTAATTACAGGCCGCAAAACGATGGGGCGTGGTTTGGCCAGGGAATCGAGCACCTGTTCAATTATCGGGGCGTGGGTGATGGTATAAAATGCGCGAGTGAGAAGTGAACCGGTCAGTAAACATGGTGCTGTTCGAGCTGATTAACCCGGCCCCATTGACCGAAAAAGTGCAATCCCGCCAGGGAAACATATACCTGTACAGGGCCATGTGGCTGATTGGTTGGATTCCGCCGAAGGAGGGTGTGCTGCGATACGTGTACCTCTTCTGGACCTGTGTGCCCTTCGCCTTTGGGGTATTTTATCTGCCCGTTGGCTTCATCATCAGCTATGTGCAGGAGTTCAAGAACTTCACGCCCGGCGAGTTCCTCACCTCGTTGCAGGTGTGCATCAATGTTTATGGTGCGTCGGTGAAGTCAACTATTACCTATCTGTTCCTCTGGCGACTGCGAAAAACGGAGATGCTATTGGACGCGTTGGACAGGAGACTTAATGGCGACAGCGATCACCAGAAAATACACAATATGGTGGCACGTTGCAATTATGCATTCCTGATCTACAGCTTCATATATTGCGGTTATGCGGGCTCCACTTTTCTGTCCTATGCGCTAAGTGGTCGTCCTCCGTGGTCGGTCTACAATCCATTCGTGGATTGGCGCGATGGCCTGGGCAGCCTGTGGATTCAGGCCATATTCGAGTACATCACCATGTCCTTTGCCGTGCTGCAGGACCAGCTGTCCGATACATACCCCCTGATGTTCACCATTCAGTTTCGGGCGCACATGGACATACTGAAGGACCATGTGCGAAATCTGCGAACGGATCCCAAGCGAAGTGAGGCCGACAACTATCAGGATTTGGTAAAGTGTGTCATGGACCACAAGATGATCTTGAGGTGGTTGCACTAAGATCGCTATTTAGAAAATTCTAAGAGCCTTTCTTGTCTCCAGATGCTGTGACATGATTCGACCCATGATATCGCGCACTATCTTCGTGCAGTTTGCGCTGATTGGATCCGTTTTGGGCCTGACTCTGGTCAATGTATTCTTCTTCTCGAACTTCTGGAAGGGCGTGGCCTCACTCCTGTTCGTCATCACCATTCTGCTGCAGACGTTTCCCTTCTGCTACACCTGCAATCTGCTAATCGACGACGCCCAGGAATTGGCCAACACGATTTTCCAATCCAATTGGGTGGACGCAGAGCCGCGTTACAAGGCCACTTTGGTTCACTTTATGCACCATGTCCAACAGCCCATTATTTTCATAGCAGGAGGCATATTTCCCATCTCCATGAACAGCAACATAAGCGTGAGTTACGCTTTTTTCACCCTCCCCTCCCCATTTCGACCCATTTTCATATTTCACCCTATTTAGGTGGCCAAGTTCGCCTTCAGCATCATTACAATAGTGCGACAAATGAATCTGGCCGAGCAGTTCCAGTAAAATTAGCTCACAAAAATGATTTCGAATTATCCAGCACACAGTATATAGCAGTCCCCAAAAAGAAGCCTCCCAGCTATTCTTTATAGCCGTGATTTGCATAAAATGTGTATATGTTGTGGCTTATCTGGTAAGATTTTGGCTGATTTAGTTGGTAAATGGTAATGGCCATGGCAAAGGATGTGAGAGTCAGACTGAATTTGCAAATTGCGTTAGCAGACGGAAATTACAACAGCCAGACGATTCGACGAGTGTAACAACAAGCAGTCTGAGCAAATGGGCTCAAAGCTCGCCAAATATTTCACTGGAGGAGGAGCACTGGAGCAACCACAGGAAGTACATATAACCGTTTACATATTGTATGCGATTTTTATTTAAATTTTATGTTAAACACGTGACTTGTAACCAGCAAAAAGGCGGAGTAGGAATATAGTATAATAATATAAAACGGATCGCCCAGACTGTGGCAAAGGCAAATATTATGACATATTTTTGCGGTTTACTTGCCGCACACGCGTCATCATATCGCCCCCACATACGAATGTTCCACGATGGAGTCCATAAACATGTAAAGTGGTTAGAAGGAGGCAAGATAGATGGACCCTGTTATATGTTTGCAAATAGTAAATGGAAACCAACAATAGAAAAGCATTGAAGCTAAGGCAAGTCCACCTATACTTTGCGCTTTTTCAAGTTTTCCCCTGGCAATAGAAACCTTAGCTAAGTGGACAAAAACTCATGTTTATATGCCAATTTATTCTTCTATCTATGGAAATAAGCAAGTTAGAGAGAGAACAATATTTACGCAAGTATAAATTTTAATATTAAATACAATCTACTATCTATTCGAAATGTTAAAGGAAGCTTAATATCCTTGCCAAGGTTGAAATATTGTAAATCTATAAATTACATCTGGCCACGGGTTTCAAAATATGTAGCTAAAATGTTATGCCCTATTAGACATTTCAGTTTGAATTCATTAGCTTCATTTTCAAATCCCATTGAGCAATTATGCTACATTAGAGTGTTGAGTGCACTTTAATCGAAATCGTCATTTTCCGAACATTCTAACCAATACAGAGAATTCAATGAAACTGAAAAAGCTATTAAAAGCGCTCAATGCGTATTAATGGCGCAAGTCGGTGAGGCGACAGGGTCTAGCCGATGGCAAAAAATATTATTAATTATGCAATGAAAAAGTAATTATATCCGGCAGCCAATAAAAAGAAGCGACATTTGCTTTGTGCACCGCAAACTTAAAATCAAATTAATTACACATGATTTGCCGCAAATGGGTTGTGGTGTGAAATAGGTTCCACAGCTGCAATGTCCTTGGCAATAATGTTTTTACACACAAATAAAAACTTGTCTTAGAAACTTAACTATTGTTTAAATATTTGATATACAAAATGTCTCAATAAGATGAGTATTAAATTAATACCACAAAGGTAACAAAATTAAACTCATTTGGTTTAAGAAACTTTTGCATATAAAATAAACTAATTAGAACTGGGGATATATATTAATACAGGCTGTAGTTTACCAACTTCACTTACTTAAACTAAACTTACAGTTTGTTTGGGTGTACTGTCACATTACAGCAAGTAACGAGTCACTAAGAAAGTTTACGCGGTGAAAGTTTTGAGCTGGAAAACTTTAAAGGCGGCTGCAGTTATGCAAATATGCATAAATCGGATGGCAGCCATCCGGTCGCAGTTTCATCACCCCATAAATCATGGTTCGTGAGAGCTTAAAGGAGTTTTCCCGCTTGATAAATGACCCCGTGTCAAACAAGAACTCGGCCAGAACGGAACCACTTTTGTTTATTGTTAGAGCAACAAATATAATTTGGCAAGTTCGTTTTTTTTTTTGGCCGTCCTTTTCAATTTGCAAACAAACGAATGAGGAACGGACTTCTATCTATGGCAAATAGTTGGCTGCCAGCCTGCAATCAGCTCTTGGCCGGGCCAAAATGCTATTAGCATGCATGAGCCAGGCAAACCGCCCCCGCCCCCGCCCAAACCCCGACCACGACCCCGCCCCCCCTATTCTACCAGAATGCGCTGCCGAATGTTTGTTTTCGATTCCATTTGTTTTCCCTCAGCCACAGAGGGACAGATCGGGTGTTCGAGTGTCGCAGTCAAAGTCACAGGGAACAATCGAACACGGCGTATACGTAATATGCATACGAACTGCATACACACATTTTTCAACGGCATCTCATGCAATTTTGCCCATGCAATTTGTATGCCCCATAGCCTACGGCAGAGTGGGATTTTCAGGGTTCGGATACGGGCCAAGGATTGAAAGGAGTGAAAGGAGTAAAAGCAGCCACACAAGAGAAAATATTTACCAACTTAACTCACATTGTTTTAACAGGAAATAGCGTATATGATAAATGCCAGATTGTCAAGTTACGCCATTTGCTTCTCTTGCTCCATTATACAATCTGGCTTTTAAAACGATTTGAGTTAAGGGACTTATAAATTGAATGTATACTTCTCTAAGTGTGTTTTTAAAATACTTTTTGCTAAATTTATTGCTTTTTTAAGAGAATCATTTTTTTTTTGCTTTTAGTTTGCTTGATTTCGGTTTTAAAAGAAGTTTCGAAAACGAACAGCTCGCAAAAATAAACAAATGGTAGGTTGCTATTATGTTAAGTATGTATTGGCATAAGTTTTTAAGTCTTTTGCCCTTGTCTAAAGTATCTTTTCAAAACCAAAAAACTTAAAAAAGTAGATACCGAACTTAGAACTTATGTTTCTTACGCTCTTTTGTGCAGTGCACAT